ATATCTCTTTGGATTTGAGACTTTAGTCTTTGCAACTTTACAGATCTTCTTTATGCACCAAGAGCTTGTAACACTGCAAAGAGAAAGGAAAAATTGAAATCGCATCATATGACCCCTTTAAAAAAAAGTTGTTGGATAATTCAAAATGCTTTCTGCCATTTTGATGTGGAAACAATAGTTATCTAAATAAATAAGTTAACATTTCTATCAATATTATAAGTATTTATCTAAAAATAAATATCTAAAAATAAAAAAAAAAATCAAGCATTCCATTACTTCTAAAATACAGTAAGTTAGCATCACCCTGGTTCCCTCGACAAAAACAGATTTTTCCACTGACTTTTGGATTTTTACAGAAAATAAACTGTGATCAACAAAAAATGTAAACAATCAATCAATCAATAAGTTGATTGAAAAATAAATTGTATCCTAGTCCTTCAAAGTGACATTAAGCATATCTACTCTGTCAGTTCAGTTGTGTATGTTTTTTTTTTTTTAACTGTTATACCTGCCTTTCTGAATTTCTGACAGTTTTATTTTTGCTATATGTCTTATACTTCCTGTCTCTTTTTTGTCAGTTGGTACTCGCTAGACTCCCGGCCAGGTAAGAAGAGGAAAGACAGAGGCAAGATTCAAGTTAGCATCCAGTTCATGCGGAACAACATGACCGCCAGCATGTTCGATTTGTCTATGCGAGACAAACCCAGATCGCCATTCTCCAAGCTCAAGGAAAAGATGAAGGGTCGCAAGCACGATGGTGCCTTTTCAGACACATCTTCCGCCATCCTTCCACACTCAGGACAGAGCGAGATTGATTCTCTGCCAGACCAGCACCCGCACCCTCAGGCTGCACCTGAACCCAAGCCAAAACGCTCGCTGCTCACTGGGACGCAGAAACTTTCTGCTGCTCACTCCATGTCTGATCTGATAGGAACTCACTTCAGGCCCAAACTCGACTCCATGAACTCTATTGAGGAGAAAGGTGAGGACATACATGGTCTGTTTATGTAGTTCACTGTAGAACAGTGCTCAGTATACACTATATTTTAGTCTTTTATGTTTTATTTTATTGTGTGGTTTTAGCAGCGATATGTATTGTTCACTATGGATTGCTGTAGTGATGGCCAATCTGGAAGTTAGCATCACCCTGGTTCTCTGAATTAAAGCCCTGTTTTCCCCCCTGGTTTTTGGATTACTGCTGAAAATAAACTCTTTGACCAAATATTTTGTTCATCTTCACAAATTAACCAAAAAAGCCAGAAGTAAAAACATAGGCCATAAACAAACTACACCACAGTCGCATGAATTCAGTGTCACTACCATTAAGCTTCCGACAACACTTTCCGTCTTTAAAAACACACAAAAAATAATAATTTTCCCTGAAACTTTGAGTTAGAATAATTTTCAAGAACGTGACTGAACACAAGGCTTTAAATGCTGACTAGTGAGCAGATGGGTTTAACAGTTTGAGAGATGATGTTTAATATCTGCAACAACCTCTGTAGTCCCATTTGTGACCCTGGACCACAAAACCAGTCTTAAGTCGCTGGGGTATATTTGTAGCAATAGCCAAAAATACATTGTATGGGTCAAAATTATTGATTTTTCTTTTATGCCAAAAATCATTAGGATATTAAGTAAAGATCATGTTCCATGAATATATTTTGTAAATTTCCTACTGTAAATATATTAAAACGTAATTTTTGATTAGTAATATGCATTACTAAGAACTTAATTTGGACAACTTTAAAGGCGATTTTCTCAATATTTTTTTCTTTTTTGCACCCTCAGATTCCAGATATTCAAATAGTTGTTTCTCGGCCAAATATTGTCCTATCCTAACAAACCAAAGCTTATTTATTCAGTTTTCAGGTGACATAAAAATTTACCCTTATGACTGGTTTTGTGGTCCAGGGTCACATTTAGTCACTCAGTGAGTTAGCAATTAAAAGCTTAGAGGTTATTATATATTTGTTATTATATGTTGTAGAACAAAATGTGAAAATATCTTGAGCTTGTGTTAAACACAGACATTATTTCAGGCAACCAAATCCCATTGACTTCAGGATGATGGAACCGGAAGTGGTAAAATGCTTACTCGTCTCCGGGTTTGGCCTACAAAAATACCTCATCACTGCAGCACTCTATGGAAAAGCACTAAAGAAAATGTTCTCTCCTTCTCATCCACAGGGGTCGCTGCATCTCACAGACACTCTCAGAGCGATGGATATGGTTGCCCAACCAGCGACGTTCCATGTGACCCCTTTTCCGACATCGGAGACAACATGCCCCAGAAATTCGCCACTCTCCCACGCAACCGCAATCCCTTCGAGGGAGATCAGGGGATGCTGTGGGGGACAGAGAAGAGAGAGAAGAAGGAGAAGGTTGGTCTTCTGGGCAGAGTGACTGGGAAGAAAGAAGGAAAGAAAACGGCCGCTGGAATGCGAATAGGAAGCTCTGGAGACCTGCGATCTCCAAACCCCTTTAGCAGTGAAACCAACCCTTTCCTATCACACTACAGATCCAGGTAAGACTAGCTTTTAGCCGTTTTGTTGTTGCCTTTTATATGTTGCAGCTAGTTTAAGCTTTCGTTGCAGTTGAAATAATATATAGGTAAAATATTTATTTGAATACATTTTTAAGTATTATATTTAATATTAAAGTATGTACTTAATAGTATTATTCATCCTTTTAAAATAATTGCTGAGGAATGTGTCTTCTGTTACTTCTGCTTGTCATTTCCAACCTCTGCTCTTTTGTCAGTAGAGTTAGATGAGGACAGTTGAACACTTAATGTTTATCAGAGAAAGTCTGTCATTAGGAAGACCTTATCAATGTCATTAGGCCCAATTCGGACTACAGGGTCCTGACGAAGCCACAGTAATGAGATCTGAATGAGAGATAGACCATTCAATTAACAATTCATCTGCCCGTAGCCTACCAGGCCGTTCATCTCTCCAGTTACTCTCTCATCTTAGATCACAGGTCTTCCAGGGGTCACAGGTTAGCTAAAAATACATGAAAAAGCCTGCTTAATGTTGTCTAGTATATAAAGATCTGTGTGATCTTTGCACCGTAATACATTAACTGACTTTTGATAACCAGCATCCTTAATGGTCCTCATCCATTCACAATGTTTTGTCATTAAAGGACTGAACCACTACTCATAACGGTACGCCCATGTAAGCATAAAGTCAGTATATTTTCTTGCAAGTTGCAGTGGTGTTTGATGGCTGTGGTATGGGTGGAAGAAATATGTCAGCTGGTTGAATTTCCAAATTTCCTGTTATAATTAAAAAGAAAATTCAACATCAGACTATCTATATATATAAATAAAAAATTGTTGCAGACAAGCACTGTCAGTGTACTTATTCATTTACTGTATATATTTTTGTTAAAATTTTGTTAAAATAATGTCGTATTTAAAAAAATACTTTAGAAATTTTAATAATAATAATAATAATTTCGTAAGTATATTTATGCCACTAGATTGTCTAATAGACATTATTACATTGCATATAATATGCACTAGTGTTCAAAAGTTTGGGGTCTGTCAGATTTATTTCTTTACTTATTATTTTATTTTTATTTATTGTTTTCAGAAAGAAATTATAACAGTAAGGACACATTCAATTGATCAAAAGTGACAGTAAAGACTTAAAGTGCAAAGGATTTCTATTTTAAATAAATGCTGTTTTTACTCATCAAAGAGTCCTGAAAACAAATGTATCACAGTTTCCACTAAAATATTAAGCAGCACAACTGTTTTTAAAGTTGCTAATAATAAGAAATGTTTCTTGAGCAGCAAATCAGCATATTAGAATGATTTCTGAAGGATCATGTTGTGACACTGAAGACTGGAGGAAAGGCTGCTGAAAACTCAGCTTTACCATCACAGGAATAAATTACATTTTAAATTATATTGAAATAGGAAAAAATGTATTTTAAATTGTAGTAATATTTCACAATATTACAGTTTTTACTGGATTTTTGATCAAATAAATGCAGCCTTGGTGAGCATAATAGACTTCTTTCAGAAACTTTCCACCACTCATTTTTAACCATTTAAATATATATACCGTTACTGTGGTATAAAATTGCTCATACTGTGATATAAGATTTTGGTCACACTGCCCACTGACTGAGTGCCGTGACTGGCTGTAATGCCTTTGTTGTGGTCAGTGACCGATTGTTGAGAAATGATAAGTAGACTTGCTGTTTACGTGTGAGGGGGTGTCAACCATTTCCTGACCCTCAGTCAGATAACAAGTCAACTCAAAAAGAACTTCTGCAGGCAGGTAGCAGGTGCATTAAGGGTTGTGATGTGTTTCATGATAGTGCTTCTTGTTGTCGACCAAGATTTTAACAATGTTAAATTGATTTGAATGTTAAATGAAGGGGTTTCCTGTAAGATGAAAGTGCATTTTATGTATTTATTGAAGTAACAGTTTTGTCTTTTTTTTCCTGTCTAACAGTGACAACATGAGAAGTCCCACTAGCAATGAGGACCTTACACAGAGATTCAAAACCTCTCCCAAAAAGAAGCACGGCATGAAAAGTGCACATGTAAGTTCATTCAAAAGAAATAGTGTACACTGTATGTCTTTTCTATTTTACACTATTGTTAAACATATAAAGCTGAATTACATGTGACCACGCTAAATGTAAGAATATTATTTTCCATTTCTATTCATTGCTTAACAAGGGTGTATTTTCACAGTCACTGTCCAGTCTGTCCAGACAAAGTTTGACCACATTTCTCATAAGTTTTCAAAACTTGCCCAAAGTTTTAATTGGTCATTTATTGCAGCCCTATTATATATGGAAGTCATTGATGCTGATCTCTGACTGAGTATCACTTGTGGCGCTCTGCTTGGAGGGCCGTTTATCTAATTAACAGCTGAAATGGGTGGTCATCGTCTTTGATCTGCATGTAATTTGAAGTAGTGTGATGTTATTAATGCGCTTCCATTTCGTTAGCGAGCCATCTTGGACAGTATGTTCTCTCACTCAATAATTGGAAATCTAATCATTAATAATACGCAATTTGTCACTGGTCTAATTTTACACTATAGGTCAAACCACGGTCAGCGTTAAACGTGGAAAGGGGCCCTCTCTCACTTTGTCATTATTATACTGATTGTGATAGTCATCGTGTCCAGTGCGGAGTAACACAACGTTTGCTTGCCTGCTGTGTGAGAATAGCCGCTGAAGTGATGTTGAAACTGGAGACGGGTTGCTGAAAATGGCTTTCCTCACCCATTTTTGAGGTTATGTTAACACTGCATCCGTGAAATAGTGTCTCTGGCACTCCAAGGCCTTAATTAAAGGATGGGGGGTGGGGAGAGAGCCGGCCGAGGCATTTCAAAGGACTTGGAGTTTTAGATTTTCAACGCAAAAGCCCTCATTAGTGCCCATAATGAGACAACTGAAGAATGCCAAGTGGAAGTCTTATCTCTCCCACACTCCTGATTGCCTAAATCTGCTCATCAGCTGCTTGCCAGTTCATGGTCATTTCCTGGGCTCTTTTCCTGCCCCCGCTAGCTTGTGCCCTGGTGGTTTTGCTATTCATGCAGCATCTCTTTCTCTAAATATTCCTTTGATTCACTGTTCGCTGTTCTGTATTTGCCAGAGTGTTGTTTTGGTTTGCAGTGTCTGTTGAGCAGCATTACCAAACATTCAACTCAACAAGCACACCTAAAAGTGTATGAATTTTATTGCATGCAAATGGCATCTGCAAACAAATTTTTAATTTTTATTTTTGAAATTATGATGATTTTTAGTGGATGTATGAAGTCAGTTCCCCTCAAGTTCACTACAGGTGTAGTTCATCACATTGATTAGGAAAATATTCCACTACCAGAAACCAAAAAGCATCCAAATGTGTTTTTGCCTTAATTTTGAACAGTATATCTTTTTTAAATAATAGATTCATTCAGCAAATGTTTTCCTTGGAAAGTGTACCTTTTTAACTGTACTTTTTCATTTAAAATAAATGCTACTTGATTTTATATTTTGTTATGCAATGAAATTCACATATTTTAAATGTGATTTACGTGTCTAAATACTTTTTAAGGCCATTGTATTTTTGCTTTAGTTTCTAGAATGGCAGTTTTATGGAGTCAAACTTGCTCTGCAGTTTCCTCAGGGAAAAAGAAAAGGAATGTTTTGTTTTCATTATCGTAATCTAAGGAGGATAATCATAATCAAAGTGTCACATGTATAAACAGCTGTCCGATATGGTGGATCAAGTTCAAACCCAGAAGCTGCTCAGATTCTGAAGCTTCAGGTTAAAAGTGTTGAGGCTTGTTCTTGCCAAGTATTATTATTATTATACATATAAACACAGATACATTTCAGGAGTTTTATATATATATACAGTATATCTTCCATTCATTATTTAGTGAATCATACTTGTAGCCAAGCCCTAATCACTATTCAGTTGAAGTAATCACACCAATGTTGTTTAAAGGTTTTAGTCCCTGTTAAACTTCATTTAATGCCTTAATGTATTTGTTATAGTGACTTGCTTTTAAAATGATTGTCTTAAATGTTATTTCCTTAAACACAGATAACCTTATCAGTGTAGATTTGGTGCAAGTACTTCATTTCTGGAGCTATTTGGATTGTTTGGTAATTAGATGAATTTCAGGTCTGTGTCCTGTTGATGTTGATTTTGGGTGGCAGTTTTATTGTAATTAACTAAGTATCAGTAATTAGGCATGACTGAGAATCATCCACTCATATTTTGACACCAATGAAATGGGTAAGCTCTCCAAGAGATTATATCGACTGACCGCATTTAGTGCTTGTTTTCACTTTGACAGCAAAAAGTGTGAATTTGTCAGACACTTGATATCAGATGAGCAAATGTTTCTAAATTGCCCGTTTCCTCAATATCATTGTGAAGTCAGATGCAGACACTTCTCACGTCAACACATAATCGCTCTGCTTGAGAGAACTGAGGCTTGAGAGTTTAGAGCAACACCTTTGATAAAAGCGTGTTTATTAAGTGAGCTCTGAAGGCAGCATTAAATAACATGTTTATTTCGATCTTGTCTCCTAAAATATGTTGCCCTTGTAAAATTCGAATGCTTTTTTTTTTTTGCGAGTTTGCTTTGGCATCCCAGAGATATTAGTCCAGGTACTACTGTATGTAGCATTATTGCTTATCCACATACACATTGTACAGTGTCATGTTTCATATTGGAAATTTTAAAGTATCAAATTATTGTTCAAAAGAAGCACAATTTATTTTTTTATTTTTTTATTTTTTGAATTCCCAGTTTGAATTCCCAGCATGTTATGGGCAATAAAAAGAAGTAGAGATGTAACAACATTTGTCATGTATTCTTCCTCACGTATAGGAGTCTGAACATCTGCAGAAGAATATGGCGGCCTACAGCAATCTCTCCTTTGAGGAAGTTGTGCAAGAACTCATCAAGCAGAAAGAGGTGGTGAGAAAGAAAGATGCTCATATTCGGCAGCTGGAGGACTACATTGATAACCTGCTGGTCAGGGTAATGGAAGAGACACCCAGCATCCTGAGAACACCCTATGAGCCCAATAGAAAAGCTGGGAAGATCTCGAAGAAGTAAAGGATCTCAAAAGCATACTGTAACTTTACGTTTTCTGGCAAAATATATATTGCTTGTAAAAGGACGCTGGAATGTTGGTTCTGACAGAACAAAAGTATATTTGTTCACACGCGAACAGATTTCATGCCATAAAGTTTGCAAGAACAACCGGATATATTGTGAAGAAAGATGGGCAGTAAATGTGGTGATGCCAAACCCCCCTTTTAGATTTTTGCTTTGCTTTAATTTTTTTTAAAGAATCTTTTGAGCTGTTGACTAATACTTGTGAGTGAAAATATTCTCAAGCAGCCATTCATAGTTTAGAGCGGCGTTCTTGCGCGAAGAGACCAATGTTATGTTTTACCGAAAATAACTGTGTTTAAGTTGACTTTTTCTTTGGATTCAGTCAGTATAACAGAATTGAGCACTTAATACTTAATACTGTGTTTTGCGATGCTCACTGGGGTGGATTGTCCATATGAGGCCTTTAATTTGCTGTGACTGAATTCAAAAGCTGTACCAGATCAATTGACGTACATGTTTGTCCACAAATATGTGGTGAAGCAAGGAAAAACTTGGATTGATGGCACCACGGGACATAGAAGTGAAAGTTGACTGGATGTTTTAGCACTGGAACATATTGGTTTACTGGAAGGCACTGTTGGGTTTGACAGGGTAACTCTCCTATTGGTCTTGAGGGTGTTTACACTGTAGATGAAGAGTGATCAGACTCGTGAATGATATTGGCATGTGTTTGGTGCCATGTTGATACGTTAGTTACAAGACGTCGGTACTGGAACCTTTTGGTACTTTTTTCAAATCATACATCTATAAAATGATACACTGGTACAGAATTACACTATTAATATTTATTTTGAGCTTGATTGCAATGAGCAAAATGTGTTTGTGAATAACAGTGTTTAATGAACAACCTGCCTCTGTTATATACAGTGATGACAGAAGTGTAGAAAAGAGCATCCAAAAGTCTCCAAAGACTTCATTCTGAATGTCATTCAGTTGAACTGGAATGTACTGATGCTGAATATCTTCAGCATGCCGCAGAACTGTCAAAATGTGTGGACTGCCTACAGTTAACTACACCAAAGTGTTGACGGTTTTGATTAAACGTAAGCTAGTCGGTTAGTCAGTCAAGCACAGAAGTAGTAAATGGCCCCTTTTTTAATTTCTAATTTCACCAGAGCAAATCTAGCCTATGCGTATTTAAAACCACAGCAAATAATGGATTAATTTGGCACGTCTGGATGCCTTATGAAACATTTCAGTCGGTTTGATTCATTACAATGTATAGCATGCTTTGTGCAACAAAATGTAGACAAACTAGCTGAAGAACAATTGTTTACAGATTGCTTTATAGTTTCAAGGCAGTACTCTTTGTCATTGTACTGCTTTCCCAATGCTTTTCTTGTAGGACACTTCTTAGTGTTTACTGTGATTTTTCTCATCTTGTGTCATCTGTAGTGCATATCTGGTGAGAAAATGACATTGGCTATCATTCTTGGTAACTGAGCATATATTTTGCACTTTGGGCTGTTACACTGGAGCATCTGTGTAGTGAAATACTGTACAGCAGTGGTGCATGTGGCAACCGCATACTTAAAAATGTACATTTGAGAAAACTAGAATGATTCTAATGATAATATAGTCTGTAAAATAACCCGTTTTAATATGTCAACCCTTCATGTGAAGAACAAAACTGACACAGGGCAATTCTTTAGGCTATAATACCCCTTTTTGATATTTTTAAGAAAGTAGTATGTATGTTCTTTGTATATAGCTCTGCAGAAAGCTTCCCAGAAGTAGTTTTTCTTAACAACATGGTAAAACACTGTGCTGGTTAGTTGTGCTGGAAAGGAAGTCTCATATATTATTTATATAATATTGGGTCACATTGAGCAAGTGATGTATTCTAGCTGTAAATTATTAATGTTTCATTTATTTAAAGTTTTATTTACTTACATTTTATGTATTTGGAGAGGTTTACATGTGTGTAATTGACTCTTCACGTTAAAATCATTCAGTGCCATGTACAGTGTTACACAGTGCTGACATTAATAGGACCCTAGTTAAATGCTCTGGTTTAATGTCATTTTTCTAAAAATGAGACCATTAAGTTTTGTGCAAGCAGTCAGAAGCTAGTTTTTCCATATAGTTCTGTTTACATGCTAAATTTTGTAACCTTTGTAATATGGATACACGTTAAAGCATTTATTTACAAATCATTTACAAATGGTGTACGCCAGGCTCACGTTATTTACGCCGGGAGCATGTCATTTATTAATGATTTTCTGCATTATATTTGTCACTGGCCAAAAATGTTTCATTGAATTCAATTCAGAAAAATTATACGATGAAGAGTAAAGTTAGCTTTAGAACATATAGTTAGCTATATTTTATTTCTCACTCTCTATCTCTCTCTCTATTTGTTGTTTTATATCAGGACTTCTGTGTATTTTTTGTCTCTAAGAGCTTTCGATCAAATAAGTTTCAAAATTGCTTCAGTAACATTGATCATATCCAGCTGAGCACTTCTCCTGTCTGTTTTGTCTCATTGAACTGGAACTGCTATGCATCTCTATCAAGAGCAATTCTGTGTGATACGCTGAATGTATTTTGACCAGTCAGCAATGTCTGTAATCACAAACAGTGTTAATCACCCTGTGTAGATATTAATTAGCACTTCTTTGATCACTTTTTACAGTATATATAGCTGAAATGATGTTGATACATTGTTTGCTTTCACTAATATTAACAGAATAATGATCGGCATGGTTTTAAGTTGATTATCAAGAAGACATATCATTTTTAATGAGTAAATTTTTTTACAATTGGTTTATTAATGGTCCTAATGTTTAGACTACCTATTTTTTCCATCTTTTTATTTTTATTTTTTTTATTTTTTTTTTGCTTCTTGCTTGGGTGTTGATCTTTGATTTTCAACTTTTTATTGTTGTTTATTTAGAGGTTTATAGCTATTAATTCTAAATATGTTACAGTGATCATATTTGTATGTTTGCTGCTATTATCCTGCTATTTCCCCCGCAGATGGTTTGGATAAATTCACATAGCATCGAGACAAAAAAATGGTGATTTTCCTTCATAAAGGATAGTAGCAGGGCAAAAGTAAAATGAAAACACATGAAAGCCACAGTATCAACACAAAATTAAATTAAAAAATAATATTTGAATATAATATTTTTTTTTTATTTTCCATTTGGTGTCTTTTATACATTAATCTCTGGTGCTGCAAAATCATATCATATCATATATACGTTTGTACCAGTTTTTCAGTGTTCTGTATCTTATTGGTTTCCATTTATGTAAACTACTTTCTACTCAGACACTCCTTCCTTTAAAATACTGCTTTTCCTCCAAAAACTTGAATTTCCAATAATGTGTAAATAACACTACTTAGAATATAGAATTTTGCCCTCAGAATTTGCTTACGGTATTTGAAAAATCATAGTTATGATGAGGACTTTTCTCAACGTGGCACTTTCCTGTAGAGTGGTTAAATATTTTGCGTAGATGTAGTGATGATTCATCAGGAAGTAATATGTCTGTCTTTGCATTCTTGGCATGCGGCATGAATGAGTGTAGAAGAGAGATCTGAGTGTATTTGTCTATGTGACTACCATATAAAAGGGTGAGAATGACGTTACAGCCCATTTCAATAAATCTCCTGTACTTCATGACATGTGTCTTGTATTGCTTTGATATACATGTAAAAGCTTGTAAGGAAAAAAAAAGCTTGTAGAGCAACAAATTTTCACGTTCCAAGCTGGGAAAACTCAAAATCAGTTTTTTTGAGTTGCAAGTTGCTGATGCCCACATCAATGCATTAATTAAATCAAAATTCATTAGACTTTGCAATGAATCTCCCAAATCTTTGTATTATAGCTTTGTATTTGCATTACACTGCAAACCTCATGGCTGTCATTTCTTTCAGGGAAATTAATGGGAAGTAAATTCTCATGCCCACCCAAACAAATAAAATAGCCTCTTTAACGACAAGGTAGCTTGTTAAACTTCTCACCTCATTTGTTTATGAGTAACAGGTGTGTGTGTGTGTGTGTGTGTGTGTGCTTCTAAGGAGCAGTATCATTGCTCTTCATTCACAAGACTGGCCCCTTCACAATCCACACAGAGATACTCTCTCTCTGCAACATTTGGATGAAAATGGAGCTTTTTCAGACTCAATGAGATGTAGATGAACAGAATTCCCTATTGAAACAGGACACTTCTTATAGCAAGGATTTCCAGTAGTTCCTTCAATAAGACACAGTCTGTCTTTGGAAGCTTGAGACAATGCGCTGTGATAGACAGATGCTGTCTTTATACTAGAGGGTGCTTACAATTATTCAGAGTTTTTTGTTTACTAGCTGTGTTTAATTTATAAGTTTTTAAGATGTATTGGAAACCATTAAAGTAGAATTCATAAGTAAGGCCAAAATAAAATACAACTCATTACAAATACTTTTGTTCTTTCACTTAAAAGAATTGTTTAAACATAATGGCCTTTGCTGACTATTTAAACAGGTTTAAAAAAGGTTAAAAAGTCTCGTACTGCTAAAATTCATACAACATACACCATCCTTAAATGTGTGAAATTTTTAATGACTACAGAAATGGAAAGTCAGTCATTTGTGGGGTCTTGTTTTATAAGTAAGATATATTTCCATTCTTGCTTAATTCCGCATTCTATCTTTTTCTTTGTGCAAACTCGCTTTCATTTCACTTTAATGTTTTAAAGCAGAGCCTGAATTGTCTGTAAAGACTCACTGACAGATATTCATACTGTTTATGAATTTTATCATAAAACAATTGATGCTAAAAAAAAAATTAAGCCTTTCTAACATGCATATGTTCATTTATTATTTATCCAATGCAACTTCAGAAAAAGTAATTAATTTTTTCAAGCAATTACTTATGTTTTTAATATATACAGTATGTATAATACATATGAATGTGAATGTATTGAATTTGTAATATATTCATACACATTTCTTCACATATATTCTCAGCAACCAAAATATACATTAATACATATATATATATACATATATACATATATACATATATACATATATATATATATACATATACACACACACACACACACACACAGTTTATATATTAAGATAAAAGGTGATATTTCTATCTTGTTATAGTACAATAAAATAATCTAATTTTATATACAGTAGTTAAAAAATCTGATGACATTTGAGCATGTTTAAGTGTGAATTAAATGTCCAAATAGTTTCTAGGGTCACGGTAAATGTTCCACTTTGTACCACTACTGTTAATGATTATGCAGAAGGTGGAAGGTGTAATGTTTAATGAGGTGCACTGTGGATCATTTTAGACTGGTAATACATTAATTACCCTTTTTGAAGGACATCTAAAAGCCAGTAGTTACATTCATTACAGCACAAAGTTTTCCCCTTTGGATCAGAAATGCGATCTTCTTTTGGTCAAGTCAAGTGTATATTGTATTTTGATATTGGCCCACAATATGCGACATAATCCTAAAAAATAAATGAGGAACACCTTTTTGCTCACTTTTCATGAATTAGCAATGACTGACGCTATAAATGTTCTGGCGTAGGTTTACGTCTCGTTTTCATCTGCTCTAATTGGAACAATAACTTTAACACATTCATTGCGAGATACTGTTTCATTTTGTCTAGTGTCCAGTGGATGTGGCACGCATCACGTCCCTTCTGCTGGACTTTATATGATACATGATAGCGCCTGCGTTTGATCATAAATTACAGGATGGACAGCCGTGGTTCGAGCCCACAGGATGGCGCGTGCGTTTACGGGGACACGTGTGCAGGTTGAGCCCACCCACAGTTCATCTGTGCTGGTGTTAAAAATGGATGGGCGTCATGGTGCAGGGATCGGTGACACCCGGCACGCGTCCATTCAGAGAAAATCACCCCAAGCAATTTCTGTGACAAGATGTTCGACAAGTGAAATTCAACACATGGATGAGCTATTCGGGTATGAGCTGTCGGCCTCCTTCTTATGGCCCCAGCTCTGGCTGAACCTGACCTAACATAAGCCATATGTCAAGGTTAGCTACACTGGGGCTTCCACCCTGCTCTGAAGCTTTAGCAGAGAACAGTAAGTTAATCTGGAAAAGCACTTGGTTTATAGGGGAAACCTGTACGTGGCTAGGTGTCAAATGAGCCTCTCAGCGCGAGGATGGGCCCCCATCAGGCCCTATTGTGTGTAACATTGTCTGCTTGATTGGTGCCACGCGTCCTGGATCAGGTGAACAAAGGCCAGATGACACCCTGAGGTGCAAAACGAGGGGAAATCAGACACATGAACAGGGCAATTAAAAGAAA